GATGGCTTTTACCTTGAAATCTTCGAAAAATCTAAAGATTTTGTTAACTTATTTACATCTCTTGGTGGCAAAAGAATAGGCTACGACAAAAAAAGAGTAACACCATACATGCATGCATTAGTATACCATGTACCCATCTTTATAAAGAAATACAAAAACTTTAAACAATTTACTGGCCAAGGTATAGAAAAAAATAACGATGACGCAAAGAAAATTTATTTCCAGAAATCAAACAAATGGGACGCCGCTCAAGACATTCTACTATTGGAGCATAGGCAGAGGGCTTTGAGACACAGAGAAAGGGGGAAAAGAATGTATGAAAAAAGAAACACAACTTATTGGGACGAGGGAATTATAGAAAGCAGGAAGAAAAGAGCAAAGGCATGTTTAAGAGAAACAGAAAATGATGGTTGCTGCTCTAGCACTAGTATGGAAATAATTACTACTCTCAACAACTCGAATGATTTTTCACAAATGACAGTAAAGCAGTTAAGACAAGAGTTAAAATCAAGAGACAGAACTATTAAAGGAATACACAAAATGGCTAAATCAGAATTAATTGAAAAATTGCAAAGAAACATGACTTTTGTCTAAAAATATTTATTAGTTGATACTATTTAAACAATATATTTATTTTGTATTTTTTTCTATAAAACTTATTTATTATATTTATCCATCTAATTAATTTTTCAAGAGTATCTTATGATATYTATCTATTTATATCAAAAGAAATCTATTTATATTCTATACAATAATTTAATCAATTATTTATTGYATTTCATTATTTATTGTAAGCTAATTATTACATGTATATAAAAGTAATATCAAAATAAAAATCAAATGTTGTTAATATCACAAGCCTTCCTATTTATAATAAGAAATACTTTTTCTATTGGAGAGCTAGGAGCTGGTTTAACTCGACCATTAGAGTATAAATGTCGTTTTTTACCCATATTTAGAACAGTCTTCAACTTCATTGGGAAATCAACTTTAATCCCTTGACCAAGTTCATTTATATAATAATACCAGAAGTCTGGAAGGTTTAATTTTCTAAAATCATCTTTTTCATACATCATATAACGTTTGTCAGCCGTTTCTCTGCCTTTTCCACAGAATACATGYCTTATAACATCATGATCTATCCTAACTTCAACAGAATAAAGTATCTTCGTGGMATTGGATTTCAGAATCGATAAAATTGCTTCCAATAACAAAGCCGCACTGTACTGTATTCTTTGAGGAGTCACTGGAGGATTCTCGTATGCCCTTTAAACGAAATTAATTAAAACATTGAGCTTGTTATTCTAAAAATGTGGTCATGTTTTTGATCTAGATATCTTATAAGTCTTTATAAGTTAAATAAAAACTAGTCTGAACGTACTCGTACCTGATAAGATGGTCGTCTAAATGTATTGAGGGCTCCCATGTGCAAGTCCAAAGTGGCCAGTTCTCCCACTTTATTAGGTATTCAAAATCCTGATATGGTAACAAACATACATTATTAAAACAATCCATAATAAAAAAACAACACGAGGTAAAATTACTCGACGACATGAAAAAATGCAGCGACAATTTTACCTTGTTCTTTGTYGATCGCCGGCTTATGATTCTTTCAACTTGATATATTCGAGACCCACATATATGCCGTTTCCTTGTAGTAAGTTTATCATGGATATCAGCGGAAGAAAATGAGTTTAAAGCCTTATAGTCGACTCTTTTACTTCTAGAATGGCGTGTGTTCGCCATGTTTGTTGATATGAAATCGATACCACTGAGCATGCTCAGAAGGTGTGCGTGAAACCGCTGACTAAATTATCTGAGGGAGCAAAATGTCTCTCATTGCTGCTAATGAGCTCCAAAGAAGAAGGCCAAGGTGTATAAGTCGTCTTTGAACCTGCAACAATACTCAAAAAGAGCCAGAAAGCCGTCTACAATTACCCGCCAGTACGGTCAGAGTGTACAGTACGACGTGGCAGAAACATTCACTGGAAAACAGCTTCATTACGCCAAGCTAAAAACCCCAGAAGAGAAAAAAAGGACAAACTAGCGGATCTTAACGACAGTTCGCGCTCTGACGACAATGATGCATCGACTCAGCAGCCATTCCGCAAAAGGAAAATATCTGCAAAAGAAAGTGCGTAAAAGAAAGGCGCAAATGGCGCACACAAAGATGTGCAAGCAAGCTTCCACCACACTAAACCTTATAAACGGAATCTTACAAAAACGTGGACAAAAAATAAAATAGACGATATGTGAAAGAACTATGGCAGCAGCTTTGATATTACGGTTTATAATCTTGAAATTTTGAAAAGAATAGATTTTTAGGTTGTAGTGTTTTGAACGAGAGATGTAAGAAATAAGTTCAGAAAATAAATTTGCGATCTCAAGGTCTATAGACTACATAGGGCTAGCGCGAGGACATGCCTTGTTCTAAGTACTATAACGTAGTTTTAGCAATATATATTCTATTATCTCTAAATCATCTATCTAATGACGTAATACGTAGCCTGCGTATCCGGACTTGTTACAACTTTTAAGTTATTCTAGCAAATGTTGTACACGAGGTATGTTTCACTCCAAATAAAAAAGTTAACTACTTGCCATGCTTTTTTGCTTTCTCTATTAATATAGATTATTAAAAATGTTTACTTTTGGTAAGCCTCTTGCTATAATTGTTGCTTATTTATATCAATTTATTTCTCTTTAAGTTTATAGAATTTTATTTCAATCGCTAAATTCTTCTTTTTTTTAATTTTAGGGAATTACTATTAGATTCAGTTTCAGAAGGGAGGTTGTAGTAACTAAAAAAATCTAGTAAGGTTTTAGAAAACGAAAAAGAAATATAAATATTCGTGAAAGTGCAATATAAAATGTATACGATGCCTTATAGCTAGAAAAAAAAATTGAGCACGACCAAAATTGTCCGCTCCCACGATAATCCAAGTTTGTATTTTCGCCTTTGAAGAGTTGGAGATGAGCATCAAAATAGAGTTGCGATCCATGTTTTGAACGCCGCTCGCTTCAAAAAACTGGGCCTCGTGCATAACTTATTTAGTTAATGAAAAACTACCATCGAATTTATGATATAAAATAAATATACTAATAACGAATAGGCAAGATTTTCTGTTACTCCGAGTTTCGTGCTAAGCACGAAATAATATAAATTTGACCTTTCTGTGTATTCTTCGTGAGAAAATTTGAAAAGTTTGAGTTGAGCATCAAAATAGCCAGGCGATCGGCGATCACAGGTAGCGCAAGCTAGGCAATTGTGAAATTTTTAGAAATATTTAAAATATAACAAAAATATACATGCATCTCTACCTTTGCATTTCAATTTTGAGCGATTTATGCCTGTTGTTCTCCATCGTAACACGGTTCGCTTCAAAAAACTGGGCCTCGTGCATAGCTTATTTAGATAATGAAAATCTACCCCCAAATTCAAATAGCTTATGAAATTTGGTGCATCGTTCTTACAAAAAATGGCTTTAAGGGACTGTGCAAAAATTCCAGGAGTTGGGCGGTGGGCGTAAAACCAGAGGGAGGGCATTACATAAAATCGATGCCAAGATAGGTGCTGCTCAAAGTAAAATTACCTAATTTACATGAATAGCAGTGAAATAAAAGATGAAAAATGACGAAAAAAGTAACTGCTGAGTTTAGTCGCCATTAAGCATGCTCAATTTACTGCAACAAAGAACATTTTTTATAATTATATATCCTACATGAAAAGCAATGCAAGCCATTTTTGCTTGCTTCAAAACCACCTGTAGTTAAGTTCAATGATTCGATATTAAAGCTGAGAGAAATTTGTTAGCGTTGGGTTGTCTCAATGCTGATTACCGTGATGCAAATAAAAACGTACACTACATTGACAGTAGTGTTGTATCAGATTTACAAGGTCAATAACCTGACCAAATAGAAAGCCCTTATTGGGGTAATATTTTGAGAAATGCTGAGTTTTACATTATCCTTTTTGATATGATCACCGACGATAATGAGTATTAGTTGAGGTAATAAATACTGAAGATTATCGTTTCAAATRCCTTTTAAAATTATTGGTAAATCAAGTTTTAAAGAAGTTAATTGAGCTATAGTTTATATGTTTTTAGCATTATTTATTGATTTGCGTCACAACAGCTATGTTTATAGATGACTATATTGTTTTTTGAACAACTATTACAATTGGGATCCCTGTGTAATTTGTAAAATTTGGAAATATACCCTAAAAGCCTACTAGCGTACAAACAATACTAGCGTACTAACAATACTATCGTACTAACAATACTATCGTACTAACAATACTAGCGTACTAACAATACTAGCGTACTAACAATAGTATCGTACTAACAATACTAGTGTACTAACAATA